AGGTAGTCCTAATTTGGACTGCAGATACAGACATCTAGTGTAGACAGTGCCAAAAGCACAGTGGCTAGTTGTATCTTCGTTGTAACCAGTATCATTGATTTCTAATAAAAAGTCTCCCTTGGCCAAGAGGTCACCTTAATACCAAAAAAAAAAATAATAATCTACATAATCCACTTTAGTTAACTCTCATTAAAAAAGTAAATAAACTATTAAAAAAGTAAATAAAATTTAGAATATTCTAGTTTGCATAATAATAAAATTTTTTTCTATTCAGTTGATTTGATTGGTTAGTGATCATTCTTGGATTGACATAAAGAAATTTCTAGAACCATTAGATCAGTGTTCTATTACCATAAATGGTGTGATTAGCACTATACATTTATAATATATTCTCTGACTGTATTTAGTTAATTATTTATTTTAATAAATTTTGTTTTAATAAGATTGATATGTGTCTATAAAAAATTCGCAATTAGTGATAATCATCAGTAACTCTGCCTATGTTTGATTTTAATAGGCCATTACACACTCTATCTCAATACTCACTAAATTAAATTTGATGAAATTTTTTTTATTTTGATTTTATAAATATACAGAATCAAAATAAAAAAATTTTATCAAATTCAGTTTGGTAGTTGTCATGATATCCTCGTTTAAAGTTTATTAACAAATTAGACTATTAAAATTCAAATAATAAAAATTTTCTAAACTTTAAATGAAGATATCTCGACTACCACCAATTCAAATTTGAGGAAATTTTTTGTTTGGTGGTTGTCAAAATATTTTTGTTTGAGATCTACATGTGCATTTAATTCTATTGGTCGAAATTAGCTATTTAAATCAATTTAATTTTACATTATTTATATAGTTTAAAGTACTTTAAAAAAAAATAAAACTATGAAGAATAAACAAAAAAGAAGTATATAGAAAGTTTTATTAGGGTTGTAGAACTTCACTATTAAAAATAATCCAAATTCTTTTTTGTTTTAGAGAAGACAACTTCTTAACGATAGATAGAATTAGGTTATTACCATGTTAACTTCTCTAGAACAAAAAAGAATTTAATAGTAGAGTTCTACAATACTGATAAAACTTTCTATATATTCTTTTTTGTTTATTCTTCGTAGGTTTATTATTTTTAAAAAGTAGCCAATTATACGAAAGTCTGCCTATAAGTTGAACTAAACTAGGGTGTCCAGGATTATTATCCCAAATAATATCTGCATAATTTACCTTATAGTATATAAAATATGCGATTTTGCATAATTTCAAGAAACTCGCATAATTTGGCTATTCTTATAAATAAAGATATTTTATTGGCCCATTATTTATAATTCCGAGTAAAGTTGTAATTTGGTAATTTTATATAGCATTATTTATGAAACAAAATTTTATCGTAATTTTATTCATAAAATAATACTGGACAAGTTATTACAGTATTCAGTGTATTTTTAGCCTTGAATGTACCAACTGTTGTTGAAGTTAACGATTAATAAGTACAGTCCAAATTTTTTATCATGTTGGTATAATAGGATGGATAAATTTATTTCAAATTATGTGATATGATTTTATAAATACAGTTTCATTAATTTTAACTTAGAAATCTGTAAAGAAGCAATACTTATTAAAATCATATCACATAATTTGAAATAAATTTAGGTTATGAAATTTACTCGGTCTATAATAGCTATGAATATCTGCTATATCTATAAAGTTAAGTTATAATTGAATAGTTTACATAGGGCTGTTTGAAATTAAAACTTTGCTTAATGTTATTTTTTTGATATTTGTAGGGGAGGGAGGGAAAAATTAAACAACCATTAAAATAAACGAGGTTCAGATGAACCTAAATTATATACAAGTGAACCTAAATTAGGTTTAAGGTAAACCTAGACTTGGTTGAACAAAATTAATTTTATTAACTTAAAAAAATTTAAACAATTATATAATTATAATAAATTATAATTCAATTAGCATAGTGATATTGATATTATTTAAAATACATATAAAATTATTACAGTACATGCCAAAATTTTAACTAAGTAATAATAAGCTAAAAATAAACATAGAGTGTACTGTACTGAAAAATCTCAAATATAGCCAAAAACCTCTGGTTATTATATTTGTTTAATTTTAGGGTTAAATGAAAGTTTAACTTCAAGTAGTTTAATTTTTAACCTTAATTCTGGGACACGCATAATTTGTATAATTTGCATTTTACCGGATGCATCATAATTCTAGACATATATGCATGTGATCTCTTTTTTTGGATTGTATTACCAGCACAAAACTTTCATTTTTGATACACCTAAACCTACTTTTTTGATGCTGATCGACATGCAAAACCCGGTAAAAATAAAAATTTTAAAAATTTTAAGTGAAGATAACTCGACAACTACTTGCTTTAATCTGACAAAACTTTATATTTGAATTCTATGGATTTATAGAATTCAAACAAAATAAAATTCATCGAATTTAGCCATGTGGCTATCAAGATATCTTTGCTCAAAATTAGAAAGTCTATTAAAATAGAAGCTGCGCCAAATTTCTCCTAACTTTGAGCGCAAATATCTCAATAACTATCTGGCCAAATTCGATAAAACGTTTTTTATTTGAATTCTATAGATTCATAGAATTCAAAAAAAAAAAAAAAAAAATTCATCGAATTTAGCTATATGGTTGTCGAGATATCTTCGCTCAAATTTAGAATGCCTATCAAAATAGAAGCTGTGTCAAATTTCTCTCTAACTTTGAGCGAAAATATCTCGATAACGATCTGTCCAAATTTGATAAAACTTTTTTCTTTCAATTCTATGAATTCATAAAATTTAAATAAAAAAAATTTCATCGCATTTAATCAAGTGTTTGTCGAGATATCTTCTCTTAAAGAAAAAATCAAAATGCGTATCTACACCAAATTTTCTTTCTAACTTTGAGCGAAGATATCTTAACACCTACTTAACAAATGCAATAAACTTTTTTTATTTAAATTTTATGAATCCATAGAATTGAAAAAAAAAAAGTTTTATTAAATTTGGACAAACTGTTAGTGAGATATCTTCGCTCAAAGTTAGAAAGAAATTTGGCGCAGCTTCTATTTTAATAGGTTCTCTAATTTTGAGCAAAGATATCTCGACAACCACATGGCTAAATTCGATTAATTTTTTTTATTTGAATTCTATGAATCCGTAGAATTCAAATAAAAAAGGTTTTACTGAATTTGGCTAGATAGTTATCAAGATATCTTTGCTTGAAGTTAGAAGAAATTTGGCACAGCTTCTGTTTTGATAGACTCTCTAATTTTGAGCAAAAATATCTCAATAGCCACATGCTAAATTTGATGGATTTTTTTTTGTTTGAATTCTATGAATCCATAGAATTCAAATATAAAGTTTTATCAGATTAAAGCAGGTAGCTGTCGAGTTATCTTCGCTCAAACATTTTAAAATTTTTATTTTTACTAGAATCTGCATATCGATCAGCATCAAAAAAGTAGATGCAGGTGTATCAAAAATGATTGTTTTGCATTACCAGCACCGTGTTTTTGGTAATGTGACAAACACCAGGAATAAGAATTTGTAATTATGATTAATTGAAACTAACAGAGAGAAACATTGAAACGTCATAAAATTGTTACACAATTGATAAAAAATTTTTTTATATTATTTTACAATACTTTTTTGGAAAGCACACTTGACTTATGTTTTATATGAATATTGAAAAACAAACATGAAGCTCTCACTTTGCTTTACAACATATTTTTTAAATCTCTTTGAATCCCACAGTTTCATCTTTTTGTAAATTTCGCAATTTGATTGGTTGACTAATCCTGTGATATTTGACTAGTCGATACAATAAGTGATCTGTGTAATGGAGAATGAAAATCATATCTATATTTGGACGTTTCCTTCTGTTATTGAAACTTGTTCTGATAAAAACAAAAGTATAGAAAATGTCGTAGCAAAAGAAATTATACAAATAGTAAAGAGATAAATATTTTATAGTATTAATCAAGCATCTTTTTCTTTGGACCTTCTTGATGAGATTACTCGAGCAATTTGTTTAGTATAGTGAAAAGGTTGTACAGATAAAATAAATTGCAAGTGTGATTCTGTTTGTTCTATATGATTGTTCTGGCTCCACAAAGAATGAGTAAGAAGCTTAATTTTTTTTGCTTTTTGTTTTCTTTTTATTCTCATTTGGATGAATAAGTTTGGTCTCTCTTCCCTTTTTAAAAGATTTTAGTAATTTTTTAATGTTTTCTTCCCCAACCTTATTTTCTTTTTATTTTTTATTTTTTTCTTATTTTTTATTCTTCGTCTCATTCATTTTTCTTTTTATTTCTTATCTTTTATTTTTAATTTTTTTCATATTCTTTATTCTTCTTGTCTCTTGTCTTTTTTTTTTTGCTTTTTACTTTCTTTTTATTTTTCATTTTTTCTTATCTTTTATTTTCTTTTTTTTTTTATATCTTTTATTCTTTTTGTCTCTTGTCTTTTTTCTTGCACTATTAATAGAATTAATTTACCAAAAGAATTATAGCAGCATGTACTTGCTTTTTATTTTTATCTTTTTTATTTTATTTCTTTCTTTTTGTTTATTTTTCTTTGTAAGATTACCAAAAGGTGATTCTGTTCAATTATGTGGTCATTCTGGCCTCAAAAAAAATACAGCCTAATGAAGTTTTTAAAAATAAGGTTTACTGGTTCTGATTAAGGAATCAATTATGCACCTTCTTTATTTTAAAGAAATTTACGTTTGTTATTGTACTTTAAAATATTTTGCACTAATTTTTTTTATTTTATTTTTTTTAATATTAATATTTAGACCGACAAGGAAAACAGAAAAAAACTGAAGGTCCGATTAATACTAATACTTAAAATACTCCCTGATAGTGAAAGTGAGTAGTCAACAAATATCTCCTCTGGAGTCAAAAACTCAAGGGTGTGACCAGTCTATTTGTAATTATTGGGGTTATTTGTTTGTTTCCTTTTTCATTATCATTCCACTATTACTCTTTTTTCCCTATCTTTATTTTTTTCCTTATCATTATTCATCTTATATGCTACTAATACATTATTGCTTTCACTTTTTAACACCTTTTTTAATACTCTGTTCGATCTGTACTATGGATCCCAAATCAGTTTTCTAATCATGCCTCTTATTTTCAAATTTATCCTTGATGTCTGATTTTACATTAATTGAATAGTCATCCTTATCCATACTCTTTTAGCGGTTATTCTCAAGACTTTCAAGCTTTTCTTATTGGAATATCTACTTTCAATAGATTTCAATTCCATTCAAAATGTCATCTTCCATTCTTTGACTATCCTTGTGTTGCTTCGAGAGCAGAACACGAGATCGTTTTATCTATTTAGACTGTTATCGAGATAAGTTAATTTCTGCTTTTCTACTGCTGATTCTTTTTGTTTAAGTTTTCAACTTTCTAACACTTCTGCATTCTTTTGTTAACTATCCAGGTTAGCAAGTAATTTTTCAGATCTATTTGAACAATGATAAGCTCCTTCTCAATTGCTTAATGCGGATGCATCACGTATTCGAATTTTCTAGAACTATCAAGGTGAGTACATGTTGATTATTTTTATCTGTTTTATTCTTATTGTTATAATGCCTAATATTGTTTATTCCTCTAATTCCTTCATTTAATTCGCTACCTTCATTACCCAGGATGGTAGATGACTTGAAATAACTAGGGATAGATTAGTTCGTTCTAGTCAGTCCCAGTCCTTATAAAACTGATTTTATAATGTTTATTAGTTTGGTCGGCCCGTCTTTTCGGTCTCACGACTTATAATTTTTCAATGTATAATATTAAAATTTTTATTTATTAGTGGCCAAATTTTTAAAAATTCATAAAAAAACAGCATATTAAATTTATATTATAAAAAATACAGCGACGTAAATATGAATATATATTTATATTAAAGTTAATTTAATATAAAAAATTGAGCACAGGGATATTTAACTATTCAATTTGCAAATTTCTTTTTTGAAGTATTATTGTTCATGGTTAGAAAAGTTATTATTATTATTATTATTATTACAAAATTACTATTTATTGCCAGTGGTGATCATCACCAGTCCTAAAATTTATTAGGGTTAGGGTTAGTAATTAGAGAATTATTGTTTTTTATATAATATATTATATTATAGAGCTACTATAAGAGCCCAATAGGGCCTGATCTTAGTTTTTATAAGGTTTTTGGAGGTCCTGAACATTTTTACTTAGAGAACCTGATCCCGTTTACTTAGTACGTTTTTGAGATATAGCAATACTGGTGATGATCACCAGTGGCGATAAATAGCAAACTTCTTATTATTATTATTATTATTATTATTATTATTATTATTATTATTATTATTATTTGCATTGTTTTCTTTATATCAATTTATCAGCTTTTTTATCACCAGGACCAGACAATTCCGGACTGAGAACTGAGAATTGTTTAGTCCTCTGTTTTTTACTATCTGGTCCCGGTCTTTACGAAGACCGAGAAATGACCCAAATAATAAGTGACTAATTAGGGCCTATTAAAATCATATATTAGAGTTACTAATGATCATCACTAATTGCAGATTTTCTAATAGTAATTTTTTGGACTGACTCAGAATCCTAATACTTAAAATTCTAATGCTCAAAATCCTAATAGTGTTAAAAATTGCTTTTGGGATTTTAACGTTAAGCATTTGGTAGGATTCTGAGATAAACCAGTAATTTTATTATGTGTTTATTATCTGATAATTATGTATTTTTAACTAAAGATTGCATATGCGGGCAGCGAAGCCACCCAGTTGATATTGTTATAGCAAAGTATTAGTATAATGTAGTTAGTTGAGATAGGCTGAAATAGTGAAAATAGAAAAGTATATATTGTTAGTATTTTATTAGTTTTTTTTTTTATGGTTTTATTATTTATGAAATAATAGGTTATGTGTAATTATGAAAAAAAATATATAAAAAAGTTAATTAAATAGTTTACAGATATAAAAGCATTTTTGTCATGGTTATGCTGTTGTTTTTATTTCATGATAATTGAAAATAAAAAACTATAAAATTTTTTTCGAGATTGCGATTTTTCAGAATTATAATTAATCGATTTCTATTAATATTTATATTTATTTTAAATTACTAATTTTCACTTTGCAGAGGTCAAGTGCAATAATGAATTAATAAAATTACTTTTTCAAGAATTTGAACTTCAAAATATAGTACGATCAGAATTTGGATTTTTAGGATTTATAACAACTTTCTAATTGAATATGTACTAATTAGAAGTAATAGAAACAAAATTTTACATATATAAAGTAAAAATCTATTTATATAACCTCTAACATTAAAAAAAAACAACTTTGAGCAAAGATATTTCAGCAACTATTTAACCAAACTCAATGAATTGCTTTTTTATTGAATTCTATAGGTCAATAGAATTCAAATAAAAAATATATTTTATCGAATTTGATCAGATAATTGCTAACATATCATCACTTAAAATTTTAGAAAAAAATTCGACAGCTTTTATTTATAATAGACATTTTGATATTTTTAAAAAAAAATTTGAGTAAAGATATCCCAGCAACTACCTAATCAAATTTGATAAATTTTTTTTATTTAAATTCTAAAGATAAATAAATTCAAATAAAAAATTTTTATTGAATTTGATTAGATAATTGCTGAGATATCTTTGCTCAAAGTTTTAGAAAAATTTGACACAGTTTTTATTTCGACAAATATTTGATATTTTTAAAAAAAGTTTGATCGAAGATATCTCAGCAACCACTTGCCCAAATTTGATGAAAATTTTTAAATAAATTCTAAGAATCTATAAAATTAAATAAAAGAATTTGATCAGTGGTTACTGAAATATTTTCTCTTAAAGTTTAGAAAATTTTATGCAACTTCTATTTTGATAAACATTAATATTTTTTTAAAAAAGCTTTGAGCGATGGTACTGTATCTTCTTAGCAAGCACCTAATTAAATTTGATAAAATTTTTTTATTTGAATTCTATAGATTCATAAAATAAATTTCAGTGAATTTGATTAGATGATTGCTGAGAAAATTGCATACAATCATGTACGTACGTACATACTATATCTGATATATTTGTCTAATACTTTAAGTTGCTACTTACCTTCCATAATTGTATTATCATAGTCACGTTAATCTTACATTAGTACGTAGTCTTAATAGTTTAATTTATGTAAGAGCATTTACGTTCAAAGTGCGATTGCATAAATTTGTAATCAAATGTGGAATCTATAGTGTAAGCGTTAAGATCTCTGTTGACAATCTGTAAAATTAGAATGCATATAAGAGTTTGTCTTCATTCTTAGTTGAGGGAGGATAACATAAATAAAGATCATATATATTCACATTCTTTTATAATAAATGACTAATAAATCATGAATATCCGGATACTATAATTTATAACCCAAACAATTCTAATGTCAACCATCAGAGTTAAACTCGGCATGACAGTATCAAGCTCTCTTATGATGGTTACAGTATGCACGTTGTAAAAGAGTAAATCGTGACTTGAGATCATTTTTTCTAAAATAGTAGATTAGATGCATGTATACTGGTATGTGGCACAGTTATTTCGTTCAATTTTGAACGAAGCAGTATATTCAAAAATAGAACAAATTTGTTCATACAAATTTGCATGATTCTGTTCGCCTATTCGTATAATTAGTATAGTTTATACATAAGTATATGGTTTAAATAGCGAACACAGCCATTATGTACGCAGTAGTGGTCTAAAAGTATTTAAGACCAATATTTCGCTTTAATAAAGATAACGGAGAGTTGACATAAATCATTAGAGTTCGACTCAATTAGAGTCTTTTATCCGCTCTAATTAAACTCCTACAGGGAGATCCCCAAAATTCTGGGTCGGAAGCTTTGGAACTCTGGTCGGAAGGGCTGGAGTTGATCAATTTTGCCCCAAGATCACTAAGAATTTTACTAATGAAAAAATAGTCGTTCATTAAGTGAAAAGTGCCCAGCTGATAATTTTACTATAGCCTATAGCTCTTACTAACTCTAACTCAGCCCTAACCCCGACCCTAACCACGATGCATTGCGGCCATTACGACCCAGAAATTTGGGGATCCCCTGTAGAAAATCTCTAATTACCCCCCAATAATTGAATCTTGTAACCCGTGACCCAAATTAGAGTCTTGTGACGTAATTTGGCCCTAATAACTCAGACATGTCTCGATTATAGCCTGCCATATTAGGGTTTAGATAGCAATAGAGTATTCCTTAAACCATCTAGCAGGCAAATTTGCTTGCTAAAATGATTTTTAAAAAGTTTTTTTAAATTTTCTCAAAATTTATTTAAGCCTACCCCCTATTTCTTTAGTAAAAATTAAAGATATCTGTTATATTAATAACATATTTAAATTTTATTATTTTATCTTTAATTT